AATTTCTGTACTTCAAATCAAACTCACAAAACCTCTCTCAATGATGGCAGGTTAGCTAAGGTAACTTAGTGGTAGCTCACCGCTGTGCCCTGGGGAATAAGGGGCCTTATTAGATCCACACCACTGGCTCTTCTAAAATTTTTTTTTTTTTAAAATCTAACTGTTCCGTAAGCACAGTGCTCACTCACAACACAGGGAACAAGCTCATTTCCCGTCTCTGCTTGAGAGGGTGCAGGTCGGTATCCCGCAAGTAGGAAATTACTCACACCAGTGCTCAGTAGACTGATGCGGGGCACTGTTTTCTCTACTTCAACTGCAACAGTTAAACACTCCTTAAGAGACAGGCAGAAAACAAGCATAACTCTTTTGTAGGTACTCACCTATGCAAAAGAAAATCTGGAATACCTTCTCTGTTCTAGTGAATAATGATACAGTCTATACTAAAAAGATACTAAATTGACTATATAGATAACATTTTAAGGCCTGGCACACAGGTGAACATGCTCAGATGGGCAGAGGACTTAAAACTAAGTGTCTCAAATCTTTAGCTAACACTAGCCACTGAAGTACAGAATGGGGGTGGGGAAACCTCCACCTTTTCCTTCTGGCTCTCATTTGTAAAGACAAATATTCTCACTCACAGCTCTGTACAGGAAAAGCACTTGTCTCCCACATGCTGGGCAAGTGCTACTGATCAGTTGGTAAGTGAGACATGAACAGGATGCTGTTAAGCCCCATTGCAGTGTACAGAGAAACATTTTAGCAGACAATCTGGTATTGAAAATAGAACGGCCAGCTGCTGTTTCTTCTGAGTAGCGATATCAAGTTCCCGCAACAGAAGGGGGTTTGGAAAACAAACAAACAGAAGTAGGAAACTACATGAATTAGTAATTGTATTATTTCCTTTCTCTAGAACACCTTTAACCAACTGCATCACAAATGAAGGTAGACTCAAGTTGGAAAACTCATGGAATAGGTTCTTCTTCTAAGGTCTCCCAAACAACCTTCTCAGCTGTCCTAGAATGTGTCTCAACTGGAAAGTAAACTCCTATTGCTTTCCTCCATCTATATTTTAACAAATTTCATTCTAACATTGTCCACTAGGTTTCTATTTCTGTGTTTTACCATCTGGATCTCATCTTTATAAATACAAGTTACATTCACCCACTTGGCTCACTTCATCTGTAGAGACTTGTTAAATGGCTTTAAAGATGATTTACTAAAAAAGCTAGAGTTAAAGATTTAACATGAGAACAGATTAAGTAGAGAACTTCTTACTTTAATGTCAAAATTATGTTACCAAGGAGTTCTGGCTTCCCACACTGATCAGCTGATTTCTGCCTTATTCACATTTGTTCTCTGGCTCTATATGTCTGTACTAGCATGTTAATTACTCAGAAGGCACCCAAGTTCACATCAATGATCTAGTCACAAATTTCAAACATCTGAAATACAAATGTGTAATATCAGAAAATTAGAAAGAAAAAAAGCATCCAAACACTAGGGCTTTGTTTCTGAAGCAGTATGGAACACACTAAGTAAGCCCAAGAGTTAAAAGTTTAAATTAAACTAGTTTTCTTTCGCATACCGAATTGTGTTTTTCACCACAACAGTACACCAAGCTCCAACAAAGTAACATCAATCTGAATGGATTTACTCACTCAGTTATTTCAGTTACATTTTTAAATGACATTAAAAGTTTGTAGTTAAATGCCAAACTCTTTTCTAAGTTTTGAAAGAAAAAAAAACAAACAAGGAACCTTGAAAGAGTTATAGTAGGAACATAAACAGCATGTCCACAAATTGCTCCTGCCTCCTCTGGATCAGCACAGCACAGAGCCACCTTCTTTGTGTTCTTTTATCTTCAGTAGTTCAAGTGATACAGATCCATGCTTAGCATTGAAATTTTGCAATTTATTCCTCAAAATGATGGAAAGGACTGTACCTTTAAACAGGATTTTCTCCTTCAATCTGTAAGAGAGAAATGGGAGAAAGCCTATGTACGGGGGGGGGGTGGGGGGTGGGGGGAAGACAACCCCAAAAAACCATCAACCAAAAACCAGAGCCCTGAGTTTGCTCCTCCTAAGAGTACACAGCATCTGTCTCCTTAACATCTGCATAAGATATGTGAACACCCCTAAAGATATCCGGATTGAAAGACTAGGGATGAATGAAAACAGCTGCACTCTTTTCCATTCTCTCATCTAAATCTAGATGCAACCGATAAGACATAGAGTTGAGGGCTCTGTACGCCCTGGCACCTGCTACTGTAACTCTGGCCCAACAACATGCAACCAGTTAGTCAAAAAGGAACTCTTTTTGATCCTTAAAGATTCTATGAAGTACTTCAAACTCCACCCAGCAATCAACAGGTAGATCCTGGAGCTGTAGTGCCATAAGCATTGTTGAGATTCCCTTCTGGCAAATGAATCCCTGCCCTGTGTTCCAGTATCAATTTGCAAATGAATTTTTTTAAGTGTATTAAGAAGGGACCAGGTCAAAAACCAGGGGCCAGTCAGTCAAAAACCTATCTGGATTACTTCTGAAACATGCTGTCAAGCAGCCAGGTTAATTTTGACTTTAACAGTTTTCATTCGACTAGAGATGTAACAGCAGGCCCACTGTCTTCAAGGAGTAATATTGCCTCTGGCTGTTTCTCAATACCAACTAGTAGTCCAGCTTTTTCTGGGCTAAACTTCAAGCTGTTTGTCCAACCTGAGCTAGGCACCACTTGGGACACAAAGCCACACCATCCTCAGCAAATGGGGTAGGCGAGTCACACTGTCCTCACTGCAGCTACCTGCAGACTGAAGGAAAACTCTATTGAGTAGTTCTCTAACATCCCAAAAGTGACCTCAAAACTGAGATTTGGGACCCCTTCACAGCATATACCTAAAAGATTTCCAATCTTACGTTACGATGCATCTCCTGATCAGTTGGCATTTCACTCACAAGCCCAGGAAGATGGAAGAAAACAGATGCAAACTGAGGACCTCAGTTTTCTAAGAATGTCATGAAATGCAGACCTTTGTAATTCCTTCTCAGCCTCTATCAAGGGACCAAAACCAAACTCTGTATCCACTGTATTCGCAATTATTGCCACTGCAAAAACAATCAAAAGAACTGGATTTGGCTTGGTAATAATTTCTATTCCCTCCATGATCTTATTTCAACTGTTTTATGCTATTCTCTGACCTTGTTAAAAGCCACCTTGCCAGGAGCCTGCCACATTCCCACCTGAATGCACTTGTCAGCAGAATGAATTACCACATTGCATTAGTGGTTCAAATAGCCTCCTGATAGGAACTACAGGAAGAGCAGAAAATGGTGCAAGACTCAAAATGATGTATTATTGCTAAAATGCTACAACTTCACTTGTCAAAGATTGTAATTAGAGTTGGGCCAAGGCAATGTTAGCTCAGCTGCCTCTGAACACACCTGTTCCAATTTAATTTGTAGTAATTAGGAAGCCTAGGGCACAGGGGAAAAAAGGCTGTTCAGTTACTGTTTCAAAAAGCTGAGTTTTCATGTGCCATTTAAAATCCTGTTTTTCAGAACAGACTGCTGACTTGCTAATGCTAGCAAAATGAAATAAAGCAAAATATTTTTAGCAGCAGGAAGTTGTTACTTGCTACTGCCAATTACATGCCTTGTACTTGAACAGTGACATTTTTCCCCTTTGCTTATTCTTCAAGATAGGTAAAAGCTGGCTTAGGTCTTGGTGCATGAGGATTTGAACAAAACTCTTAGTCCCCTGGAGCTGGCTGACACTTCTGGAGTCATAGCCAATACTGGCAGCAATTTGCTGTGACAGAGCAAACAACAGTGTCCTAGATCCACTCTTTAG